AGAAACCCAAGGAAAGGTAGCTGTGAGTTGGATCCGACTCGATAGCAGTGATTTTGATTTTGTTAGTTTGTATAGACAGAAGAATCTAGGTCACATGAACAGCAGATGTATATCACAGTGGATACAGTGGGTCCCTGAACCCATCCTGTAGTGAGTTCCCCAGTTCTAGAATGCATAATTGAAATAGATATACTGAGCAGGGGACAGAATTCCCACAATGAGTTCCTGACATGTGGAATAAGGGCTATTATGGTAGGAAAAGCCAAGTGGAAGCCATTAGAACTGCCTCTACCTAGAAAAAATAGTAAACCAAAAGCAATACAGCATCCCTGGAGGGGTTGCAGAGATTACTGCCACCATCAATGGCTTAAAGGATGCAAGGGTGGTGATTCCCACCACATCCCCTTTTAATTTGCCTATTTGGCCTGTGCAAAAAACAGATAGATCTTGGAGAATGACAGTAGATTATTGTAAACTAAATCAGGTGGTAACTCCAATGCAACTGCTGTTTCTGATGTGGTTTCATTGCTTGAGCAAATTAATACATCTCCTGGTACTTGGTATGCAGCTATTGATCTGGCCAATGCCTTTTTTTCAATACCAATTTCAAAGGACCATAAGAAGCAGTTTGCCTTCAGCTGGCAAGGCCAACAATACACTTTTACAGTGCTTCCTCAAGGGTATGTCAACTCCCCAGCACAATGTCATAATTTAGTCTGTAGGGATCTTGATCACCTTCCCTTCCACAAGACATCACACTGGTCCATTATATTGATGACATTATGCTGACCAAGTAAGGAAGAAGTATCAATGACTCTAGATTTATTAGTGAGACAATTCAGGCACCTTCCACTTCAGTGAAATTTCTAGAGGTCCAGTTATGTGGGGCATGTAGAGAGATTCCTACCAAAGTGAAGGATAAGTTATTGTATCTGGATTCCTCCACAACTAAAAAGGAGGCACAACATCTGTTGGGCCCCTTTTGAATTTGGAGGCACCATATCCCTCATTTGGGTATATTGCTTTGGCCTGTTTATCAAGTGACGTGGAAAGCTGCTAGTTTTGAGTGGGGCCCAGAACAACAGAAGGTTCTGCAACAGGTTCAGACTGCTGTGCAAGGTACTCTTCCACTTGGACCATATGATCTGGCTGATCCAATGGTGCTTGAAGTGTCTGTAGCAGATATAGATGCTGGTTGGAGTCTTTGGCAGGTCCCTATTGGTGAATCACAATGCAGACCCTTGGGATTTGAGGGAAAAGCCCTGCCATCCTCTGCAGATAACTATTCTCCTTTTGAGAAACGGCTTTTGGCTTGTTACTTGGCTTTTGTAGAGACTGAACATCTAACCATAGGCCACCAGGTGACCATGAGGCCTGAGCTGCCAATAATGAAGTGAGTGTTGTCTGACCCACAGAGTCATAAAGTTGGATGTGCACAGCAGCACTCCATCATTAAATGGAAATGCTATATGAGAGATCAGGCTTAAGTAGGACCTGAAGGCACAAGTAAGTTGCATGAGGAAGTGGCCCAAATGCCTATGGTCTCCACTCCAGTCACATTACCTTCCCTCTCCCAGTCTGCACCTATGGCTTCATGGGGCATTCCTTATGATCAGTTGACTGAGGAAGAGAAAACTTGTGCCTGGTTTACAGATGGTTCTGAGCGATATGCAGACACCACTAGAAAGTGGACAGCAGCGGCACTGCAGCCCCTTTCTGGGACTTCCTTGAAAGACAGTGGTGAAGGGAAATCCTCTCAGGAAGAACTATGAGCCCTGCATATGGCTGTTCACTTTGCATTGAATAAGAAATTGCCAGATGAGTGATTGTATACAGATTCATGTGCTGTGGCGAATGGCTTGGCTGGATGGTCTGGGACTTGGAAGGATCATGATTGGAAGACTGGTGATAAGGATTTATGGGGAAGAGGTATGTAGATAGAGCTCTCTGAATGGGCCAAAGGAGTAAAGATATTTGTGTCTCATGTGAATGCCCACCAAAAAGTGACCTCGGCCGAGGAGGACTTTAACAATCAGGGGGATAGGATGACACGTTCAGTGGAAATCAGCCATCCTTTTCCCCAACTACTCCTGTCATTGCTCAATGGGTTCATGAACAGAGGGGCCATGGTGGCAGGGATGGAGGTTATGCATGAACTCAGCAACATGGACTCCCACTTCCCAAGGCTGATTTAGCTACCACCACTGCTGAGTGCCAAATCAGCCAGCAGCAGGGACCAACACTGAGTCTGCAATATGGAACCATTCCTTGGGGTTATTAGCCAGCAACCTGGTGGCAGGTTGATTACATTGGACCACTTCCATCATGGAAAGGACAGCCTTTTGTTCTTACTGGAATAGATACTTATTCTGGATATGGATTTGCTTTCCCTGCATACAATGCTTCTGCTAAAACTACCATCCATGGACTTACAGAATGCCTTATCCACCATCACAGTGTCCCACACAGCACTGCTTCAGATCAAGGGACTCACTTCACAGCAAATGAAGTGCAGCAATAGGCCTATGCTCATGGAATTCAGTGGTCTTACCATGTTCCCCATCATCTTGAAGCAGCTGCCTTGATAGAACGATGGAATGGCCTTTTAAAAACACAAATACAGCACCAGCTAGGTGGCAATACCTTGAAGGGTTAGGGCAATGTTCTCCAGGAGGCTGTATGTGCTCTAAACCAGAGTTCTATATACGGTGCCGTTTCTCTACTAGCCAGGATCATGGGTCCAGGAACCAAGGGGTGGAAACAAGAGTGGTACCACTCATTATTACCCCTAGGGATCCACTCAAAAAATTTTTGCTTCCTGCCCCTGCTACCCGATGCTCTGCGGGTCTGGAGATCTTAGTCCCAAAGGGAGGAACACTCCCACCTGAAGAAACAATACTGATTGCATTGAACTGGAAGTTAAGAATGCCCCCTGGCCATTTTGGCTTCCTCATGTCTCTGGATCAACAGACCAAGAAGGGCATTACTGTATTATCTGGTGTGATAGATCCTGATTACCAAGGGAAAATTGGATTGACATTACATAATGGAGGTAAAGAGGAATATGTCTGTAATACAGGAGATTCTTTAGGACATCTCTTAGTACTACCATGCCCTGTGATTAAAGTCAATGGTAAATTACAGCAACCCAATTCTGATATGACTACTAATGACCAAGGCCCTTCAGGAATGAAGGTTTGGGTCACCCCACCAGGCAAAGAACCATGACCAACTGAAGTACTTGTTGAGGGCAAAGAAATAAAGAATGGGTAGTGGAAGAGGGTAGTTCTGAATATCAGATACAACCACATGACCAGTTGCAGAAACTGTGTTTGTTATATTTCTTCATTGAATATGTACATCATATGGACATTTTTCTTTCCTTCTGTTATGAACTATGAAATGTAAACAGGGTTAATATGTTTTGGTTGTACATGTATTAATGTAGCATGTAATCACAAATATGACTTTATAATTGTCCTTAATTGGAGATTATATATGGCTAAGAAGATGTGTACAACTGCCAAATTGACAAGGGGTGGACTATGATAGGTGGAGCTGTGTGTCAACTTGGCTGGACCACAATACTGAGTGATTTAAGCAGTTGGGATATGGGTTATTCCCATGATGAGATCAGATGTATATGTTTGAGCAGCCAGTCTGTTGAAAGAGAGTTTCCCTAAGGGTGTGGTCTGCTTCCAATACATTTATGGACATCCTGGGAAAAAAAGACACTCTTCTGTGGATCTGGATCCTGTTGTGGCCTAACACTCCACCATTTGCCCTTGTGATCTTGGATTAATCATTCGTTGGAATCAACAGCTGGTATACTGCTTGACAACCTTGAGCTCGTCAGCCCCTGCAGCTGCATGAGTCGGGAAAGCCTCCAGGTTGACGTTTGTTCCCAAAACTTGGGACTTGCCAGCTTCTATAAGTGT